TTGTTACTTAATCGATCTTAATTGCGATTAAAATTAAGATTTATCACGATTATTAACAAAGGGTATTGTTTACAAAATTATGACGGTTTCTATGCAAGATTTAATGTTTCAACTCGTTCCGGAAAATTGCGAATAACCGGAAAATCTTAATCAGAATGCGTACCTAGGATAAATTTAGGAAATCCTGCAATACATGGAAAATTATATTCATTTAAGAAAACGGCCTTATATTCTGTAAAATAGAAAAAATATTTAAAAACCGGAATCAATTACTCATCTGTCTTAAATACCACCAAAATTTGATGGTGATTCAAAATTGTAAGTCTTAAACGAAAAATTATTGTTTAACCCTAAATTATAAAAGTCCGTAACTGTGGGATTTTCTTTATTTTGTAGATCTCATCTTTTTTTATTTAAGATTATCTCATTATAAATAAATATTTGGATTTATATGTAAAATATATTTTTGGCAGAGGAACAAAGTGTATAAAATTAAATAGTTGAAGTATCAATATCAATAATGGGATGAGCTTAATCTTTTGTCTTTTGCCACGTAATAGGAAGTTATGATAGAGTGACGGCTGTTTGACTCAATGTTAGTGAAAAAATATATGTTCTGTACGAAAGCAGAGACAACAGAGACGTGTAACTTAATAGGAAAAATTGTTCGGTGGTCCATTTAAATTACATATATGACTTTCTTTCTCTTTTACATTGATCTTTACATATATTTATCTCCCTCCAATAAAACTAACACCAATCTAAAAGGTCGCTAATGTTGCTAGTTTTTTGACTTCGACGTATCGATTAAAACTGACAACTGACAATGTTATGAATGTTGTTATGAACGTGTGCATTTTATTAAAATTAATTTAATTTGAGTCTGATTTTGTTGTTTAATCAATTTTCTTTGGGGGGGAATGTTTATTTTTGCATATTATTTTTTGCATGAAGCAATTTCTGGAACCAAACTCGCGTTTTTGTACACATTTCTTTTCTAGGGGTAAGTAATTTCCAATTTATTAAGAAAACCACTGTATAATGTGTGTGTTTAATAATATATTACAAAATGACTATAATTATTTTAGGTGAATTGGAACAGAGATCCATTATTACAGCTACTTTTGTTCATTAAGTAGGTAGATGAATGTCTGGACAGCTTTAATGGCAACACAAAGTTCCTACCTACTAGAAAAGTAATAGAGATTGGCTATTTCTTACATACACCTAACTCTAATAGCCACTCTAAAGGAAGAAAAAAAATTGAATCACAAAAGGGCAGAATTTGAAATCAGGATGCATTGGAAAATAAATTTGGGGACATCAGGTCGGTTTTGGATTTTAGAGAGAGATCGATCTCAAGAAAAGTTAATTTATCCTGCAGAACAACCAGAAGTTTAAGTAGGATTTGCTATAACTTTATTAGAAGATTTCCTTGATAATAAATTGTAATATAGGTACCAATTGTTTCAAATGAAATTGAAAAAGAGTTAAATACGAAATTAATTTTTCATGGGTAAAATGTTATATTCATTCAAACATTGTAAGGTAATCTATAATTAAGGGAATATGGAAAATAGGTATACCCTGGTGGTGTAAGAGACAGGTAAGGGGCAATGACAAAAAAATTACAAAAATGTATTCATCAAATAGTGTTTATTATTAATAATATTATTTGCTATGTTTGAAAAGTACCTCCTGCTGCAGAACAGATCGAATAGATTAGACTACTAGTTGGAGAAGGTCCACCTAGTAACCAAATTAGGAGACTAGGAAAACTTTTACATGACTGGGGACACAACAGGAATGCACACACATAAGATACACAAACAAACGAAATAACAGGGGTAAGCCTTCAGCAACGTCCTGTTTAAATGATGATAGTATGTCATCCTTCATTCCCTTTTAGAAAGGCATGGCATATAAATCTATTGATCTTGATGACCCTAAGAGGAGTTAGCAGGGGGTATATGGAATGGGTCTAGCAGGTTTCGATCCAGTTTACAGGATGGGACTCGGGCCTTATACATTTGTGTTGAGTGTATGTGTGTTTGTTTCGTTTCCATGGTTTCTATTAAAATAAACAGTCATAACATATCGATACCTTTTTGCCAGACTAACGTAAGCAATATTTGTTCAATGGCACTTATGATAGTCTGGCAAAAAGGTATCGATATACTCTATACTTTATAAAATATTTGTTACATTAGTTTTTAAATATATTATGAATATAAAACAACTGTTACTTTCTTTTTAATTTGTCACAAAATGATACGAGGTACTTTCTAAACGAAGCAATTGTAGTTTTTTTTCTGTACCTTATAAAAATATAATTTATAGAAAAAGAGTTTAGTGTATTATTTTTCCAAGTTTAAATATTTAATAATCAATAGAATTTTCAAGTTTTTTTTTTAGCGAAATTTACAAGAGTAATAAAAACTATGTTCACTGCTTTTATTAAACTGATTAAAACTTCCTTTATTAAAATGATTATTTATATGATAAAAAATTGGGGTTTAGCGACTGTAGCACAGGTAGAGTTAGGTATTGCTTTATGAAAAAACAAAGGACCAGGATTTCTTCCAAACATATATTTACAAACGTGAACAAATTAACAGATCTTATAAGTTTTAATAAATTGTTTAAAAATGCAATGGAATGCGTGAAATTACTTTAAATTCGACGTGATGTTTCAATGACTTTTTTGTGACATCTTTTCCCTACTATGTTTTTTTATTACATAAAGGAAGTGTAACCTAGTAAACATTGAGTCCATAAGGGAATAAAATAAATAACAACTAAAACTAAGTATTTGGGACCAAAGAGTTTGGGACCAGTTTTCAAAGAAATAAACATTCTAAATTTTTTTCAAAATTTTGCCCCTCCCTATAGAATTGTGTAACGACGCCCATGTATGTAATATGGATTATGACGTGCAAATAGTAATAAATATTTAAGAAGTTTTATTCTTGAAGTAAGATTTGTGCAAATGTACTTATTTGGTGAGTTGACATTTGGTTTGTGTTAGTAATCACTACTATGTAGGCAGGTCTTTCTTGTGAAGAATTCTGTCTTTACTAACATAATAGTAAGTGGTGATTAACTAACGTTAAAGTCTTTACCGTAAGGGAAAATATTTATAAAATGATGTGTTTATGAAATTCACTTTCTAATGCTGTAGAATGAAAAAATACCGCTGTGTCATCAGCATAACAGTATATCTATCTCCTGTAATATTGAGAGAATATGTTATTTATTTATATTAAGTCCGGGGACAAAATAAAACAATATCCGGAAGCTTTTAATATCATAAATGGAGCAATGAGAAGGTGAAAGGCAAATAGACACAAGATATTGCACCAGTTCGTTATCTTTATTAAATTACACATTTATGCAGTCAAGGTTGAAAAATTTAAAAAATAGCAAAAATACAATAATTTTACTTGCACCGTAGGTACCTATATAATCCCACATGACTATGAATTTATAATCAATTATTCTTAATAATAATTAGTAATAGGTAAAACTAGAAATGTAATAAGTAAGAAATGTAATAAGATATAATGAAAAACAAATAATTTTTCACATAATGCATACTTATTGAATGGAAAATAATTTATTAACTAAGGCCTATTGGATTTACTACGTGATTAGTCACGCACTAGACTGCATAATGTCGACATTAATGTTTTGGCTTTTGTAAAAGTATTGGCATGCATTCTTGCTTTGAGTACCTATTCATCATTTTAAAAAAAATTAAAATGCAATTAGCGATCGCTATAACATTACCCTTAGTACTATGAAATTTTATACGGGAAAAGCATAACAAGTGTAATAATATTTCAAGTCAAAATATTTTAAATTAAAATGCCATCCATTGTCGTTGCAGCATGTCAACTTGTTTTTAAACAATCGTACACATGAAGTGTAATGGATATTTTGACAAGCTCCGATTTTCAAATGAATAACAGTCTGTTTTGAATATATTTTTTTTGTGTTATGGGTTCAAAATCAGCAATTTTAGTGTTTTTGTTAGGTCAAATGAAGTTTTGTTTAAAATTATTTTCAATTAGACACATACTACATCATCTCGTGATAATATTTTGGAATGAAAAAATGGTGGCACAAATTGGTGCATATCAATAATAGGTTTGTTCCAACAGCGAATCTGATCTTCAGAAGGACGTCAGACGCATGCGCATTGAAAATAGTCCGTTCCTACAAAGTCACGGATGATCCGATGAACTGTCAGTAAAACGTTTCAACGTAATTTCTGATTCGTACATGAATGAGTCGGCGGATTGTCAAAACGATCAGAACTTCATCGCTTGTACAATTTATCAGCACATGCGCATTTGAACGTCTCTTCTCGTTCGTGATATTTTTTTGTAATTGTTGGGATTTTAAGTTAGCTTGGAGTGGCTTGGGTTTCTATTGCTTTTAATTGAAATGAATAATTTTTGTGTGCGGATTTTTTTTGTAAAATGCGTACTTATTTTTAATAAAAATAAAAAATCTTAATGTTTCAAAATTATACATTCACATAGAGCGTTCGAGACAGCTAAATAAATGTATGTTGTTGTATTTTAAATAATTTTAAAATACCAATTGACCAAACATATGTTTGGTTTGTCAAATTCCATTGCATTTTGCGTTCCAACAAGGACAAGTCTCTGATTAAACAACGGACGAATAAACGGACTGACATGCGCAGTGATTAGTTTACGAATGCATCCATGCACGAGTCAGAGATACATCAGAAAGGCGCTGTTGGAACAAACCTAATATCCTTGGAATTTCATGACCAATCACAGGCGGACATTTTTGACAGATCTTTATAGACTATTAAGATGAGATTTAATTCAACGTCTACGCAACTAATCTTAGGAATAAAATTCAAAATAATAATTAAAAAAGACCTCGCATTTTCTATTTCTGTTTTAAAACATACACCAACTAGCGTCAATCTACGATATTAAAAAAATGAATTGAAATCCTACCTGTGATCGGTGTACAGAACTAGAATGGGACGGTGAGCTATCCTGACTGTGATTCGCCTCTGTACAAGATTGAGTCATGGCGTTTTGACCTACTCCAAGGCTTTGTCGTTTGGCCTGTTCCTTCTTCTTTCCTTCAGCGGCCGCCTTCATCGGATCGTAGCTTTTCCGCCTCTTCCAATTCTGGAATTCTACTTCGCGGCTCGTGAGGGAAGAGTTGCTGCGCATGCCACCTTGCTTCTTTCCTGCAAGAAAAAACGATTTAAGTTTATTTATTTATTACCTTTTTGAAACACCCTGTAGAATATAAATAGTAGCTAGTTATTAAAATTTGTATATTTTAACATTTCAGATTTCAACATAGTTTTTATCATTGTCATCAACATAGCTAAACAGTTTTGTGATTTTTCTTCTGAAATAAATTGCATATTTTTCCAAAAAAAAAAAAAAAGTGAAATTTATCTAACGCGGTGTGAGAAAATGTGAAATAGATTGCGAAGATCCTTAATGAGCGTATTTTTTTTTGCTGAAATTCTTGGTTTCGCTTAAAATTAATTTGATTCGTTTAGACCAGTTTTTGTGCAAATGCACCGATGCGTTAGAGAAACTATTCATACCTAATTATGAACGAACATTAAGTAAGCTGAATTGATTACGATGAGTCGCCGTAAGATTTTTTTCTATCGTTTGACTAATAGCAGTTTTGTGTGTGGTATGAACATGAACAACAAATGTATTAAAATAGGAGTTAAAAATGGATACCAAGAATTTTGGTTTCAAATACACGCCCTCTAGTTTTACACTTTATACTATTCTATCCTATGTGACCAAAGGGCCGTGGCACTAGCGCAAAATATGTCTGTCAACATTTATTTTTATTTTAGTTCAATAATTATTACAATTTTTGGGTCAACTGGCTTAAGAGCCACACACACCGCGCGAGGTCGAGCTATACGGGATTCTATGCTGAAACAGAAAATGTTCGTCTCTTTGTTCTGCGGGCTCATGTAGTTCGATAAGTCTTACACTGAAACAACTGCAAATATTATTTTACCTTTGCGCTTTGATGCTTACCACGTTTGGGAATATTTATTATTTATTTATTTATTTATTTATTGGCTATTACTAATAAGGTTATATCGAAATAAAACTATATCAATTTGTAATCTTTAATTTTTTAATTAGAACAGAAAGATCTAATTTGTATTGTTTCAATTTGTTTTAAAAAAAATATAAAAGACACCAACTTGTTAGTTTTCTCATGTTTTAAGGAGAATAATAAATATGATTATTTAATTATTAAATAATTAAATTTACAAATATAATACAAAATTATAAAAAAGTAAAAAATGGATCAGAGGAGGACTATAATATAAATACTTACAATTCAAACTTCATATGTAAATTTATTTAAAATTCCTGTTTAATTGTTGGTTTAATTGGTAAAGTACAAAAGCCATTGATGTTCGTTAAAGAGTTTTCAGGGGTTAAAAAAAATAAATGTTGTATTAATATAATCCCCACTTCTTCACCAGATTAAAGGGAATGTTTTGTGTAAAAATTAAGTACATTTCTATAATATATAACCATACCAAAAAAATGATAGGTACTTTAATTTTAAGGTTTAAAAAATTATTTTATTTTGAAATACTTTCTAATTGAGCAAGTCTTATATTATTATATTTGATTATATATATTTTGACTAATTACTGTTTCTCTCAAAATTCGTTATACTCCTTACTTATTTGTTTTGATGACTTTATTTAGTTTTTATAAATTAAAGAGAAATAAAAATCCCCTAACTTATTTTCTCTTTATATTACGTTGCTTAATAGCTTCCAATATATAATCTGGCTCTTTTATAGTCATCCCTCTTGCTAAGCGAGAATCTACAATTTCCGGTAAGAGACAATTAAAAAAAAACTTTTCCAGGTAAGGATACATGCGTTCTTGCCAAAATGTTTCATCTTTCAAAATTGTCTCTAGTCTCATATCTTTCAATGTCCAAACACAAAGCACACAATATTGTCTATTTGTAACTTGTAGCTGACCCTGCACCTGGTAAAACCATTTATGGCTCTTGTTTAATTTAACTGTATTTTTAGAAGCTGTCCATATTGTTATTTTTTTGTTTTTGATACCCTCCTCAATACTCATATTACGTGCTGAGTATGGACATTTTATTTCTACGAGTCCCTTTTCACCCAGAAGTCCATCAGGGGTAGCTGCTAACCAGGGATATTTTTTATCTATAAAGATTCCGCTGGGTTCTATAATAGTGTTTTGACTTTCTTGAAGTATTTGCCTAACATAATCTTCATTTTGCTTTCCCCAATCGGTTGAACTGCTCTGAATAAATGGCTGGGTTAAAATTAATTTTACTAATGAAGCACATGGTGTATTTTTGCGCCTTTTGCAAATATCCCCAAATCGCGAAGCTGTTAACAAATGTTTTCTGATCTCTATCCATTCAAAATTATTGGCCTGGTTTTTAGTCCGTATTTCAAGCGATGACATTTCTTCATCGGTCCGTTTTAAAGACTCGTACAATTTTTTTTTTGCTTAAACGTAGCCGTCTTGCTTCAAACTGGCGCTGCCTTCTTGCAGTAGGACTAAGGCCAGTATGGTATTTATGTACGCTATAATATACAGATTTTTTACTATTATAGCTAAGTGCAGCTGCGTAACAACGTCCTTGGTATTGCCTTCTTAGTGAATAATTAATACGTTTTCCCCCTATAAACTTACATATCACATTATTAAATTGTTCCACTGAATTACTATCTGTGTCTTCAATTAAACTAATGCTATTATTCACCAAGACTTGCACAAATTCCATTAATTTTTGATATAGCCCACATTTTTTTAAATCTGGTATTAAATTATCACTGTCCGGAACTGTTTTGGTGCAAAAATATTTTAAAACACTACATTTTTCATGTTCCCCAAATTCATGTTGTAAAATGTTTAACAAATCTTTTTTTAAATTAACAGATTTTTGGCTGTGATTGAAGCCTTCTTCATTTTTTCGGAATTTTATAGCTTTGGTGACAGCAATTCTCAGTTTTAAAATTTTTGATTTAACTTTCATTCTTAGACCTTTAGTGCCAAATCCAGCTCTGAAACAAACATCTGCAATTTTATTGCAGAAATTTCTTAAAAGGTGGTTTCTGCATTCAACTTTTTGAACCGTTTTTAGGTAAGGTCGTGCCTCTAAAATTTGCTTATAACAGTTGCTGTCACCATCTCCTATAAATTTTGTAAATCTTAATCCAAGTATTTTTTCGCTATTTTTGAAACCTTCCACAATAATTGAGGATTCCATGCCAGTGGAAGCTTGACTCCAGTTTTTAAAACAGATATGAGGAGGTAATTCTTTTTGGTTTGCTGAGGATCTAGCACATACCATGCAATATTTATTTCTTATACCTAAAAATAAAACTTTTCCGGTACGTTTTCCGATTATTGCTGCAGCTCCAGACAATGAACTATAATTACGTTTATAGGATCGTTTTCCCCATGTCCCATCGCATATAACAGTGATTTCGGCAATACCATCCGATCCAACGGTACCGCTTTCCTTTGCTAAGATTATTTCTTCTTCTGCCGCTTTTACCATTTCTTTAAAAGCAAGAGATTCTATATCTTCAAATACCTTTCTCTGTCTATTCCTAAACGTTTTTTCGTGCATACAAGGTATATTTAGATTAAGGAGCAATTCTTGCAAATGATAAAAACCACTGCCAATACTAGTAACGCCATTAACTGCGCGAAAATTTAAGTCCATATCATTTATTTTTCTTTCTGTAGAAAAATGTCCAATAAAATTACACATATTACATTTTACCTTAAAAGTTGAACTTAATCCAAGCTTAATTTCATGTGTAATTTCCATATTCTGTAAAGTGCATCCAAAAAGCCCATCATTATGATTGGACAGTTTTTGTAGCTGTTCAAAAACATGTAGGATATCAACAACTCTGTTTCCTTCAATAACTGATGTATTCTCTTTTGGAGTAATAATTTTGTCCTGTTTTGATGAAGAAGCTTCATGGCGGAGGATATTAATAATGGACTCTCTATACTGAACAGACGTAGACGGCATAACATGTATTTTATTGCTTATTGTTTGTTGATCATTGGTAGAATTGTCGGTTGTAAATAACTGTTGACTTTCAATGATTGTATTTTCCGCAGTTTCTTCTTCAGATATCGGATTAATATTTTCAATTTGTTGGTTTTTCGGTTTTTTCCTGAAATAATAAATCAAATAGTTATACTGCTATTTTGGGACGTAGTTATGATGCTCTGTTAAAGCCTAAAATTTTTTGAGATGAATAGTGTAAAAGCTACATGAATTTGAAATAGGTTGAGATGTCAACTATTATAGACCTAAAATATTGCGAAGCTCCTAAGGATATAATTTGCGGCGTTCTGAGATATTGCACATATTTTTTTATTGCCAACACTAAAAACAATGATGTAGCACGTCCCCAGAAATTTTAAAAAACGATAGAAATTTTGAATATTGATAACTGCACATAATCCTTTCTATAATAAAATTAAATTTGTATATTCAACTGGATCGAAAATTATTAGATGATGTCACACTCAGTGGCGGCTTGTGGTTATTTAAAATGGGTGTTCACTTTTTCCAATAATGTTATCATTTGTAAGTTAGGTTCAAAACGTTGTATAAGTGTAGTTGTTATTATTAACATAGTTTTCAAAGACTACAACTACTAATGAATGAATAAATGAATATTTTATTTATTGCAATATTTGTTTTGTTTTTAATACATTGAAAACCATATATAAACATTATTAGTTAGTCAACTGACAGGTTATGTGGAGAGCTTGACATTAATTTTTGTGTAAAAAAATTTATTTTATGAAAATTTATTAATAGATAATTTATTTAATAGATATATCAGTACTTCGGAGATAAACTGCGCTATGTCATTCTAGTCAATTTTTTTTTGGACTTAATTTTAAATTTAGTATTGTTTTGACGTCCAGTGGACGTCCATCTTAGGTCATTACTTATTTATCCTACCAAATAATACCCATCTATATACACTTTCTTTTCTTTTTAATAGAATTGGTCATTAAAAATTGACAAATTAAATCTATTACATTTCATTCTATCAGCGGAAGTTTGAAATCTTATTTTATTAATACCGCACCTAGTAAGAATTTTTCAAATGATTTTCAATAAAAAAATTAATAAATGGTGTATAGCGGT